GCATGCAAGGCAAGCGCTCTACCACTGAGCCACCTTCCCAGCCCCTGTTTTGTTTTTTAATGTTCATTCGTTTGTTTGCTTCTTCTTGTTCTTTTATTTTTGTCGGTCGTGGGACTTGAACTCTGGGCCTGGGCGCTGTCCCTGCGCTCTTCAGCTCAAGGCTGGCGCTCTACCACTTGAGCCACAGCACCACTTCCGGTGGTTCGTTGGAGAGAAGAGTCTCACGGACTTTCCTGCCTAGGCTGGCTTTGAACCGTGATCCTCATATCTCAGCCTCCTGAGTAGTTGGGATGACAGATGTGAGCCACCAAGCCCAGCTTTATTATTATTATTATTTTTAATGTTCCAACTCTCACAAAACACAATGAGGGAATGGCATTCTGCATTTTCAGGGTGGTGGGGGAATTTGGCCCCAGAAAAATCAAAGCCCTCCATCTAGTGGAGAGGGAATACAGACTCGGGTTGGTTAGGGTCTGGCATCTACTGCAAACCCACAATGCCGGATAGACCGTGGCTCGGGAGCCGCAGCTTGCACACTTCTCAAATGGGGATGGATAGCCTCCACCTCCCAGGATTGCTTGGAGGATTAAGGCCTGTCCGTACACTGCTTGAAAAGCAACAGCAGAAGGCTGGGAAGGTGGCTTAGTGGTAGAGTGCTTGCCTCGCACACATGAGGCCCTGGGTTCAATTCCTCAGCACTATATAAGTAGAAAAAGCCAAAAGTGGCACTGTGGCTCAAGTGGTAGAGCGCTAACCTTGAGCTGAAGAGCTGAGGGACAGCCTCCAGGCCCAGAGTTCATGACCCATGACCAAAACAACAGCAGGAAAGTTGTTACCCCGTGATAAGAACAGATCGGTACCGTCATTTGAGGTCTGTGGAGAGGGCAGGGAACAGGCAGAGGGAAGGCTCTGAACAGCTGGACGGAAGTGGCACACACGGGGCCTCCTCCTGGGCTTCCGTCTCCTGACCTGCCCTCTCCACCTCCCCTGCCATGCCCAGGGTGGACTCCATCATGCTGGTGGAGGAGGGCTTCAGTGTGACCAGCGTGGACGCCAGTGACAAGATGCTGAAGTACGCCCTTAAAGAGCGCTGGAACCGGCGGCAGGAGCCAGCCTTCGACAAGTGGGGTGCGTAGGTCCAGCGCGTCTGGCCAGACAATTGCAGTTGCACCACCAGGGTGACCTCCCTGTGCCCTGGGCTCCTGTGTGTGGGCGTCGTGCTGTGTCCTCAGAGTAAAGCGGAATTAATGTCATGCCCTTGAAAAGGGAGGGAAGGCCTCCAAACAAGGTACCCGGTGCTAAGATTAAAGATCTCTTTTTTTCTTCTTTTTCTCTGCCGCAGTCATGGGGCTTGAACACTGGGTCTGGGCACTGTCCCTGAGCTTCTTTTGCTCAAGGCTGGTGCTCTACCACTTGAGCCACTTCCAGCTTTTTCTATGTATGTGGTGCTGAGGAATTCAACTCAGGGCTTCATGAATGCTAAGCAAGCACTCTACCACGGAGCCACATTCCCAGCCCTGAAAATCTTCTTTTGGTTCTATCATTTGAATGCATGTGTGTAGCACACTAGAGATGGAAGCCAGGCCCTTGGGTTCTACTAGGTTACACTTTAAACCTTTTTATTTTTTCTCAGACGTGGGGCTTGAACTCTGGGCCTGGGCGCCATCCCTGAGCTCTTCAGCTCAAGGCTAGTGCTCTACCGCTTGAGTCACAGTACCCACTTCCAGCTTTTTCTGTTTATGTGGTGCTGAGAAATCAAACTCAGGGCCTCAGGTATGTGAGGCAATCTATCACTGAGCCACCTTCCCAGCTCTTGCCCGCCCCCCTTTTTTTGGAGGGGAATCCTGCTGCCCAGGCTAGCCTGAAGCTTTCCTTTAAGTAATCTTCCTGCCTCTGCTTCTTGACTTGGTGGGGCTGGAGAGGCACACCATTGCACCCAGCTCTGAAGAGCTGGCTGGAACTGTTTACAGCATCCTGTCCCTCCCCAAACCCTATGCGTGGACAGAGCCCTGTTTCCCAACCTAGGCTCTTCCCTCCATTCTCTCCAGTTCCTAATGATTCCCTTCCTGTAGCAGGACGGGGAGGCCCTGGGTATCTTGAGGACTGAGTCAGGACGTGGAGGAAGTAGCAGCTACTGGTATGATGGACTGATTCCTCTTTTCCTTCCGCCCTCCAGTCATTGAAGAAGCCAACTGGATGACGCTAGACAAAGATGTGCCGCAGCCAGCCGGAGGGGGCTTTGACGCAGTGATCTGTCTTGGGAACAGTTTCGCTCACTTGCCCGACCTCAAAGGTGGGAGCAGTGGCCTGAGTTGGGTCTGGGGTCTGGGTTCTGGGTTCTGCCTTGAGCTCTGCCCCTGTCCAGAGACTCCTGGCTGCCTACTCTTCTGACCAGGCAAATGCCTGCATTTTGCCTCTGGGCACTGGCACTTGGGGAGGGGAGAAGGGGGAGAGAAAGGGGTGCTGCAGACTCCTGGCCAATGGGGCCTCTTCACCCCTGCCTGGGTTCCAGGTGACCAGAGCGAGCACCGGCTGGCGCTGAAGAACATCGCAAGCATGGTGCGGCCCGGGGGCCTGCTGGTCATCGACCACCGTAACTACGACCACATCCTCAGCACCGGCAGTGCGCCCCCGGGGAAGAACATTTACTATAAGGTGTGGTGGAGCACGGAGGACAGCATCGGGCGGGAGGTGAGAAGCTGGGGTTCTGGGGGCTCATGCCGCCTGCTCGCTGCCCGCAGAGCGACCTGACCAAGGACATCACGACCTCGGTGCTGACCGTGAACAACAAGCCCCACATGGTGACGCTGGACTACACGGTGCAGGTGCCTGCCGCCCACCCAGATGGCTCTCCTGGCTTCAGGTAGCACTTGTCTGGGCAGGGGTGAGGAAGGGGTGGGGAGAGCCGGGGCCCCGCAGGCCTCATGGCAGCTCTGGGGCTCTGTTGCAGTAAGTTCCGCCTCTCTTACTACCCACACTGTCTGGAGTCCTTCACGGAGTTGCTGCGGGCAGCCTTTGGGGACAAGTGCCAGCACAGCGTCCTGGGTGACTTCAAGCCTTACAAGCCGGGCCAAGCTTACGTCCCCTGTTATTTCATCCACGTGCTCAAGAGGACAGCCTGAGCTCCGCAGACGCCTGCAGGGGCTGCGAGGCTCTGGGAGGTGTGTGTGGGGGAGGGGGGCTAGTGCCGCTGGGGTGCAGGGCTTGGCTCCTGGGAAAGGAAGTGTCAACAATATAATCTGCCTTTTTCGGTCCCCTGCGCCTTGTGATTGGATGTCCGATGGAACAGGGGTGCCACAGCCCCTGCTCCTCCCACACCCCAGCTCTACAACCCCCGCCTCCACAACACCAGCACGGGGCAGTTGATACTTTATTTTTTTTTTAATTTTAAAAATGTTTTATTTATTTTTGTCCATCGTGGGGCTTGAACTCTGGGCTTGGGCACTGTCCCTGAGCCCTTCAGCACAAGACCAGTGCTCTACCACGGGTGGTTTATTTCTGGTGTTTTATTGGAGATAAGAGTCTCACGGACTTTCCTGCCCGGGCTGGCTTTGAACTGTGATTCTCAGATCTCAGCCTCCTGAGTAGCTAGGACTACAGGCCTGAGCCACCAGTGCCTGGCTGTACTTTAGTTTTTGTCACTGAACTAGCCACTGCTCCCCAGTGGGTACGAGCCTGACCTCTCTGGTGCAGACAAGCCTGTCCTGGAGGGAGGGGTGGGCTTCAGCTGGGTCGGCAGCAGTCTGAGGCAGAGCTCTGTCCTCTCAGGTCTGGACGGGGCCCTCGCAGCCAGTCCCAGATAGCAGGCGGCTCCTAGCAGGCGGCCAGCTTGCGCTGGGTGCGCGTGTACCGCAGCAGCTCTTGCTCGCTCACTGAGGGCTGCAGGCGGGCAGCGGCCTGCACCAGGTCCTCCATGGTGAGCAGCAGTGCTGAGCCCCTAGTCTCCAGCCCTGAGGAAGGACAGGGGGAGTAAGGCGGGGGCTCCATCCCAGCAGGGGAACAGAGGCAGGGGAGAGTCCGGGCGAGGCACCTCCTCCTCAGAGCCCGGATGTGTCTGCTCTGGAAGGCGGGACAAGGCTTATCTCCCATTGGCTTTTTTTGTTTTTTTTTGGTTGGTCGTGGGGCCTGAACTCTGGGCCTGGGTGCTGTCCCTGGGCTCTTCAGCTCAAGGTGAGCACTCTACCACTTGAGCCACAGCTCCACTTCCGGTTTTCTAGTGGGTAATTGGAGATCAGAGTCACTGACTTTCCAGCCTGGACTGGCTTTGAACCACAATCCTCAGATCTCAGCTTCCTGAGGAGCTAGGATTATAGGTGTGGGACACTGGTGTCCGGCCCAGTTTGCTTTTTGGCTGACCTCTGGGGCGGGGGAGTAGCCCACCTTCCTCCAGGTCACGGACCCTGCGCTTAAGGGCGGCTGTCATGGCATCCGAGCAGAGAGAGTAGAGGTCCGCACCGGTCATCTGGGGAGGGCAGCAATCCAGCACGCTCTCCAGGCTCACCGAGGGCTCCAGCTTGAATCTGTTGGGCCGAACCAGAACCATCCCAGCTGGCCGCAGTCCATCACTGGGCAGCTCACCCTGAGGGCTGCATCCCTTCCCCACCACTGCAAGGCCCCAGCCCTCGCAGAGTGTCCTCCAGCAGGCGTACTTGCGTGTGATGGTGCTTAAAACACGCAGCTGGGAGGCGCGGTCCTCATTCACCCCCACGAACACCAGCTTGTCAAACCTTTGGAGAGATCAGTGGGCAAAGTCAAGCTGCGCAGCCGAGAGGGGTGAAGGAGGCACAGGACGGGGTGGAAAGCTGAGGCCAAGCGGGCCTGGTGGAAGATCAGAGGGCCTACCTGCCAGGCCGCAGAAGGGCAGGGTCCAGGAGGTCCGGTCTGTTGGTGGCTCCGATCACAAACACGTCCTGAGCGCTGTGAAGCCCATCCAGCTCAGCCAGGAGTTGAGATACCACCCTGCAGGGGAAGAAGCCAGGGTGTTCTTGGCCCACCCCAACTGCCAGAGCCTCTCCTTACAAGACCCTCTGCCCAGCTCCACCCTTGTACCCCACCACCACACCCATCCCCTTGGTACTGCACCCAACTCCCTTTAGCTTCCCGGATTCCATCCCAGAACCAAAAGAGCAGGGATTTGTATCTCGGAGCCCTGATCTGAAGCATGCTGTGAGCGGTCCCTCCAATCCTGGAGACCCCATTCCCATTCCCACCCTCACCTATCCATCACCCCTCCAGAGTCTCCACTTCGCCCCCGGCTTGGGGCCAAAGAGTCCAGTTCATCAAAGAAGATGATGCAGGGAGCAGCAGCCCTGGCCCTGGCAAATACTGAAGACAGACATGCTCAGAGGCGGAGGGATCTCAGGAGGGCTGGAGTCAGAAGAGGGGTGGGGCCGAGTGCTGGTGGCTCACGCCTGTAATCCTAGCTACTCAGGAGGCTGAGATCTGAGGATCCCAGTTCAAATCCAGCCCAGGCAGGAAAGTCTGTGAGACACTTATCTCCAATAAACCACCAGAAAACCGGAAGCGGTGCTGTGGCTCAAGTGGTAGAAGGCTCCCCTTGAGTTGAAGAGCTGAGGGACAGCACCCAGTCCCAGAGTTCAAGCCCCACAACCGACAAAAAAAAAAAAACAAAAAGAGGAGTGGGAAGAGGGTGGGCTGTGTCAGCACTGGACTCCAGGGCTGGGCCAGCTGGGAAGGAGGCCAGCATGTGGGAAGGAGGCGCCTGGCGGGGGGCAGGGGGTAGCCATCAGCGATGGGGGAGTCCACAAGGCCTGCCTCTCCCTGCTCACTCACCTTCTCGCACATTCTCCTCGCTCTGGCCCACGTACATGTTGATGAGCTCTGGTCCCTTCACACTGAGCAAGATGAGGGGAGAGTGAGGCCCACCCCAAGACCTCTCCACAGCCCTGCCTGCCCCAGCCCTCCACCTTCCTTCCATGCCCACCCACCTAAGGAAGGTGAGGCTGCACTCGGTGGCCACCGCCTTGGCCAGGAGCGTCTTGCCCGTGCCTGGGGGCCCGTGGAGCAGAAGGCCCGAGCGCCTCAGGCCCAGGCTCAGCAGCTCGGGGTGCTCCAGAGGGAGCTGGATGGTCTCCAGAATCTCCTTCTTCACCTCCTGCAGCCCGCCCACATCATGCCAGGACACGGCGGGGATCTAGGAGCAGACGGTGGGCAGGTGGGAGACGCAGGTGGAGGAGCTCCTGCCCCACCTCCGGGGACCAGAAGCCCCACCTTGGGCGCGCCCACAGCCTGGGAGTGAGCTGCCTGCAGTCGCTCCAGCGCCTGCCCGAAGTCCTCAGCCAGGAGGGGAAAGCCGGCAAGACACAAATCCTGCTCATCTTCCTCACTCAGGTCGCCCGCCGAACTCCAAAGGGAAACCAAGGGAGGGCCTGTCACCAGGTCTCCCCTCCTTTCCTCTCCCTTTCCTTTCCCTCTTCCTCATTAACGCCCCATGTCCCCTGGCCGCCACTCCCCTTCTGTGCTCAACTTCCATACCCTGAGTTCTTGATCCGGGTGCAGGCTGCCCGGCTGCTGTGGGTCACAAGGGCACAGAGGTCCCCCACCACAAAGCCCTAGAGCATCACAGGAAAGGCCACCTCAGCAGACACACGGGGCAGGAACCTGGGGGGGAGGTGTCCTCCCCTTTGGGTTCCCCACCCTTGTTGGCACACAGCACAGCAGAGCCAGGGCACGGTGCCCTGTGCTGGTACTCACTGCACAGCGGCGTGCCAGCTGCGCCAGGTTCACCTCCTGGCCCAGGGGGAGGCGGGCCGTGAGGGCTTGCAGGACGCTGAGCCGCTGCCCCTCCGACAGCACCGGCACCTCCAGCTCGTGAGGAAACGCCGTCTGCACGTCTGCGGGCAGGTTCTGCGCCCAGCTCGTGGTGGCCACGACCATCAGGGGAGGGCAGCTGCGGACAGGGAAGTGCGTACGGAGGGCAGGAGTGCCGCCATGTTCAGGAGGGGTGGGTGCAGGGCTGGAGTAGGGAGACGCGCACCCCAGTGTTCCTGGGCTCACGGGAATGCTATGGGGGGAGACCTTAGCCCTGGGCTGGCAAAGGCAGGCAGATGGGCCACTGGGGTGGGGGTAGGGGAAAGGGCCTGCTTCTAGAAATACCTGCTGAGCGGGTCCTCATCAAGGAGGAGGTGGCATAGCGTGGCCACCACGCGGGCATCCTCACCCAGCCCATCACGGTCCCGGCCCAGCAGGTCCACAGCTGTCAGCAAGAGGACCGCAGGCCTGCAGCGGCGGGCCCGGGAGAAGGCCGCCTGCAGCTTTGTCTCCGTGGCCCCACTGCTATCGGCACAGAGGCTGGAGCAGGGCACCTGGAAGGAAGCCGGGTGTCTGCAAGCAGGGGGGCCGGGGTGGGGGGCTGTGAGCAGGGTAGGTACAACTGAGCAGAGGGTTGGAGGAAGACACAGGCCAGCCTCACCTTTTGCTCACACTACCCACCACCATGTCAAGCCCCCCTTCTCCCCAGTAGCTGAGCATGTGGGCTACGCTGGGCCTCTGGGCTCTGGGCTGGGGTGATAGGTTGGGCAGGGGAGGAAGGGGAGGGGAGAGGGTGAAAGGCAGACTCTCGGCCTGGAGGAGCGATGGCTGCGGTTCTGTCCAGAGCTGCTCACCTTGAGTAAGTGGAGCCCAAGGCGACTGCAGGCAGCAGCCACTGCTGTGGCCTTCCCACTGCCTGGGGATCCCCGCAGAAGGACACGGCCAGTTCCCGTCAGCAAGGCCCCCCTGTAGTCAGAGAACAGATGGTCCCTTCCATTCTGCCCCCATGTTAAGAGTCCCCAGGAAACTTGATCATGGAAGCAGATGCCCTGTTTCTCTCCCCTTGGGCCTGGGGGCCTAGCCGGGTCTGTTCCGCAGTGAGGCCCCACCTCCCACACCATCTCTGCTGTCCTGGCAGAGCCCCAGGGCATATTCAACAGCCACAGTCGGATTGTCTTTACTAGCTGTAGCTTCAGTAAAGCTTGGCTTGTTAGGGCTGAACTGTACCAAGAGGAACTAGGGGCTCGTGGGCCACTGGAATAAGGAGCTTTGCTCTTTAGGGCCAGGGGTAGTAAAGGCCAGGATGCCTGTGGGGCTTGCTGAGGAGAAGGGCAGGCTCAGAGGTAGCTGTCCCTGGTGCAGATTCTTCCACCTTAGAGGATATCCTAGGAAAGGTGCCCAGGAAT